GTCAGGGTGGGGGAAGGGCGGAGCAAGGCTCGAGCTCAACGGTGTTTTTCTCACACCCGATTTCCGTTGGTTCGCCTTCGTTCCGACCTTTTTCTGCCTCTGCTGCGGAACGAAAATTCAGAACGAAGACGGCTCACGGAATCGCCAAGACACAGTCTGGCTCGAGCCATGGGGCGAAGGTAGTGTTACAGGAACAACAACTCCAAGAGGCCCCTGGAAGGAGGAAGTGTGAGGATCCAGCTGGGTACGCTGCCTGACCACGTCTAGGGATGACCCCCCTTTGAACGAACCCGCGAACCTCGCGCGCGTTGAACGGCGGGTTGCCCAGCGCGCCGCGGCATCGCCCATACGCACGGAGCGCCCCTGGGCAAGGGTGGCATCTGGTGCGAGGCGGGGATTTCTCCAGATCCACCGGCTTGGAACTGACGCCCTGGGGACCCCGCGGGCGGTGGACATGGCTAGATCTTGGCCCCCGGGGGCCAAACTATATCCATGCCCACCGCCTGGGGAGGTCCGCGAAAATCAGTCCTGCAGGCGGTGGTCATGTATAAATCCCCCGCCCCGAATCTGGTGTTATGTTGCTCCCATCGTGCTCAAGACCACATCCCAGGAATCATTTCGAGCACCCGGAAGAGTGTCGAAAGAGTGTCGAAACAGTGACGGACGAGTGTCTCCCAGGGCCCGACAGGTGAAAACCCTGGATTTTCGGTGCTTCTGGGGTGCTCGAAATTCTTTCTGGTGGCCAAGGCTAAAGACGGTTGGAACATCATGAACCTGGTGCGCGGCTCGCCGATGGCGGCCTGCGGTGCGACGGCGGCGGCGGTGCGCGCGCTCGCACCAAGGGCCGCGGCCGAGCGCGGCGTGGGCCGCTCTCGCGCGTGGCCGACGGTTGTGTGGGCGGTGGCCGCGCCCGCTCCTCCTCTCCTCCTCCTCCTCCTCCTCCTCCTCCTCCTCCTCCTCCTCCTCCTCCTCCTCCTCCCCCTTCTCTTTCTCCTCCTCCTCCTCCTCCTCCCTCTGGTGCGGCTGCGGCCTAAGAGGGAGGATGGGGGAGGAGGAGGGAAGAGGAGGAGGAGGAGGAGGAGGAGGAGGAGGAGGAGGAGGAGGAGGAGGAGGACGTGGAGCAGGATGGGGAGCAGGAGGAGGAGGAGGAGGAGGAGGAGGAGGAGGAGGAGGAGGAAGAGGACGGGAAGGAGGAGGAGGAGGAGGAGGAGGAGGGACCAGTGCAAACCCAAGCCCCATCTACAATATTGCAATAGACCCTCCCTCCATGGTCCCTCTGCGTAGGCCCCTACAAGCATGTATTTCCAGTGAGGGAAATGCCCCGTTGGAAGACAACCCTTCGAAAGTCCTGAGCTGTGCCAAAAAAATAAACACCATTCCCAGGACTTCAGCGCCGCGAGTGACCATAGCTGTTGCGTCTTGGGGATCCTGAGTCGTGCCAGGAAACCATTCCAGAGACCTCAACACCGCGGATCAACGTAACTGCTCGCGCCCTGACAATTCGACATCGTGCCAAAGGTTCTTTCTGGGACGTCAACATTGAAATTTATCCCGGCAAAGCAACCTAACAGCGATGTGTATATGCATATCTGGAAGCATTCCCTTTAAGATTCAGGTGAGAATCCAGTTGTAGAATTCTGCTGTTCTCGCAGTCGCAGTCGCATTCGCAATGACAGTCACATTGGCAACGGCCTTCGGGTCCAATGGAATCCTAAGGATTCCTAGGGATTCCTAAGGCATCCTTAGGAATACTTAGGAATCCATCGGAATCCTTAGGAAACCTTAGGAATCCTTGGGAATCCTGGTTCCTAGGGATTCCTGGGAATTCCTAAGGATTCTTAGGGAATCCTAAGGATTCCTAAGGATTCCTGAGGATCAGCCTCAGCCTCAGCCTGCATCAGCCTCAGCCTCAGCCTGCCTCAGCCGCAGCTTCCCTCAGCCTCAGCCTGCCTCAGCCGCAGCTTGCCTCAGCCTCAGCCACAGCCACAGCCTCAGCCTGCCTCAGCTTCAGCCTCAGCCTCAGCCTGCCTCGGCTTGCCTCAGCCTCAGCCTCAGCCTGCCTCGGCCTCAGCCTCAGCCTCAGCCTGCCTCAGCCTCAGCGTCAGCCTCTCAGCCTCAGCCTGCATCAGCCTCAGCCTCAGCCTCAGCCTGCCTCAGCCTCCTCAGCCTGCCTCAGCCTCAGCCTGCCTCAGCCTCAGCCTCAGCCTGCCTCGGCCTCAGCCTGCGTCAGCCTCATCCTCACCCTGCCTGAGCCTCAGCCTGCCTCAGCCTCAGCCTCAGCCTGCCTCAGCCTCAGCCTGCCTCAGCCTCAGCCTCAGCCTGCCTCGGCGTGCCTCAGCCTCAGCCTCAGCCTGCCTCGGCCTCAGCCTGCCTCGGCCGCAGCCTGCTTTAGCTCGGGCATTCAAAATATGGCACAGGACTGGTGTTCTGGGAACACGAAGATCACGAAGTGGCCCACAGTTCGCTCCGGGGAATCAACATATGGTGCAGGAATGGTGTTCTGGGGACACGATGAACACGAAGTGGCCTACAGTTGGCTCTGGGCATTCAAAATGTGGCCCGGGAATGGTGTTCTGGGAACACGACGAACACGAAATGGCCTACAGTTGGCTCTGGGCATTCAAAATGTGGCCCGGGAATGGTGTTCTGGGAACACGAAGAACACGAAGTGGCCTACAGTTGGCTCCGGGCATTCAAAATGTGGCCCGGGAAGTGGTGTTCTGGGAAATCCAAGAGCACGAAATGGCCTACAGTTGGCTCCGGGCATCCAAAATGCGGCCCGGGAATGGAGTTCTGGGAAGTCGAAGGGCACGAAGTGGCCTACAGTTGGCTCCGGGCATCCAAAATGTGGCCCGGGAATGGTGTTCTGGGAACACGAAGAACACGAAGTGGCCTACAGTTGGCTCCGGGCATTCAAAATGTGGCCCGGGAATGGAGTTCTGGGAGGTCGAAGAGCACGAAGTGTGTGACTGTTTGCGAAAAACGAGTTCGGACCCAGCTCCCCGCATGCCGCCCGGACCCCCCTGTGGAGTCATCTGCTGCTCTCTTTTGACCCCACTAGAAGCCTATCAGTCTTCGCTGTTAGGTAATATTTGAAACGTCTGTGAACTCTTAAACTATGTGCGCGGCGCTGAAGAGTGAACCACATTTTGAAAAAGAACCGTATCACTCCGCGAAGCTTTTGCACTTGTTGAACAAATGTGCGACGGGCCAGAACGAGAACCACTTTCTGAAAACGGCCCGCCCTCCATCTGTGAAGTCCTCGCATTGATTGAAACTAATGTGCACTAAAACGCGATACATACATATATATATATATATATGTACGTATACATTGAATAATACGGCCCGCCCTTCATCCGCGAAGCAAGTGCAAAATGTTTAAAACGAATGTGCGCGGCGCCGAAGCGAACACCGTATTTTGGAAACGGCCCTCCCTCCATCCGCAAAACTCTTGCAATTCTTTAGGACGAACGTGCACGGCACTACAGAGAAGGCTACATTTTGAAAGCGGCCCACCCTCCATCCGGTCTAGGAAACTGTTGCAATGTGTAAGCTTCAAGGACATGAGTAAAAAGGAAATCTCAGGCGCAACGCCCAGCACGCCACTTCGACCGGCCTCGGGGTGCGATAGGGAAGAGTTGTTTATAAGGGAACGGTATGGCAGAGGACGTGGAGGAGGAGGCGGAGGAGTATGTGGGGGAGGAGGAGGGGAAGGAAGGGGAGGAGGAGAAGGATGTGGATGTGGATGATGATGATGATGATGAGGAGGAGGAGGAGGGGGAGGAGGAGGAGGAGGAGAAACTCCAAAGCCAGCAGCCGCGCAGCTGCCCGACCAGGCGCGGGCGCCGGCGCCGCGGTCCAGGCGCCCGCGCCCGGCGGAGAGACACCCCTGCCGGGGTCTGCCGAGGCGAAGGCGCGGCGTCGGAGGTGCTCCGCTGACCTGCGCCAGGGGACCGAGCTCCGCAGACGAGAGCGCCTCGGCGCGCCAACGCCGATCATCCCGTCGGGGCCCGAAGCGGGGCTTGCGCGGCCGTCGTCGCGCTCGCGGGGGCGCCTCTGTGCGCGGTCAGCGTTGATTCGAGGATTTGTGTGGCGGCCAACCAAGCGGGTTGACATCGGCGGCAGGCGAGGGGGGGATAAGAGAGGGAGGGGGCCGTCTCGGAATGCACCGGGGCTTCGCAGAGGCACTCGCCCCCTCAGAGGAGTTTCCTGCGTCCAGGGGGGGAGGTTCAGATCACTTCTCGGAGGGCCAGAGGCCTTCCGAACCTTCTGAGAAGGCCCGCTGCCCCTTCTCACTGACCCCCGGGCTCGCTGCCGATACAACAGCTCCAGGACCTTAATGTCGAGAGTCCCGCCGAGGTTAGAAGCAGTCCAGATAGGTCTACAGGTCTGGAGGGCCATGCTTTCGCGCTCCAGAAGTTCAGGGTGGGCCCGACTCCACCTCCTCCCCTCCCCTCCTCCCCATGCTCGCCATCCTCCTCCGCCAGCTGCATTCTTACTTGCCAACCCAGTCAATCATTCATGCAGCCAACCATTGGGCCAGCTGGCCGACCAAACAACCAGCCAGTGGGACAGAACACCGGGCAGCCAGACAGTCAACAAGATGGCCAGCCGACAAACCAGCCGACTAATCAACACGCCAGCCAGACAAACGGGCAAGGAGGAGACTCATGACAGCGACAACGAAGAGGGAGCAGGAGAGATACTTAACTGCAGAGTGAAGAGGAACTGGATTGCGAGCATGAACACGACAACGATCAGGGTTAACGGCAGGAAACAAAATATTAATGCCAAATGAGGACGCTTATTCCAGGTAGAGACGAGAAGACGAGAAGGGTGAGCAGTCAGAGAAGCAGGAAGATGCAGCCGCAGCGTCAGCGGCAGGAGCACCGAGACCAGCCCCACCCTCCCAGGGAGCAGAAGCGGATCCCTTCGCTCGTCTTGTGGTCGATCGGGAACGTGTGCATGAGCTGCGCGATGGAATCGTGGAACTTGTCCTGTGACGGCCGAGGACGTGCGCAGCACGCGGAGGGCGACCCCGAGCAGGACGACCGCGCTGGACGGGTGCGGCGTGGGAGACTTGGCACGAGCGACGCGGGCCCCAGAGGCTGGGGCCCCGCTTATAGTGGAGGGAGGGCGATCCAGGGGGGGGACGAAACCCATAGGATTCCTTCGGGAGTCCACCGGATTCATTGGGACATCCACAGGATTCCTTCGGACATCCGTGGGGCTCCATGGGACATCCATAGGATTCCACTTCTGGAGCCGCAAGGCCCCCTCTCTGCGCTCAAAAGGGCACCTGTTCAACAGCCCTCGCTGCTCCCCAATTTACACGGGAGCCCAGAATCGAATCGACAGGTCGGATCGGCGATCAAGATGAATCGGATCGGCCGGAATCGGCAGCCGCGTCGGGAGAAGTCAGATCGGTAGACATCGGCAGGCTAGCAGGCCTCCACTGAGGAATCGGAGCCCACATCGGAATCCGAAGTCGAATCGAATCGGACTCGGAGGCTGTCGATATCGAAATCGAATCGAATCGGAGGCCCTGCACCTGATCCCCCCCCCATCACGCGCCCCCCCCCAAGAAGGAAGCGGGTCCCTCGACCCAGGGGCATCGCCCCGAGAAGACCCACGCTGCACCCCGAGCTTGTCTTGTTGCTGGATGGCGGGGCCTGGCCCGGAGAGGGCCCCGGGAGCCCGAAAACGACGGAGCACGTCCAGGACCCCGTGCCTCTTGGACCCCAGTACTCTGATGGCGAGAGAGAGAGAGAGAGAGGGAGAGAGAGAGAGGGGAGGGGGCGAGCGAAACAACACCAGAGAGACAGAGAGAGAGAAAGATGGGAGAGAGAGAGAGAGAGAGAGAGAGAGCGGGATGGGGCAGGAGGGGGGAGGAGCAGGAGGATGGGGAGGTGGGGGCTGTGGGGGATCCCGCCCCCCAACCTGCTGGCTCCCCGCCCAGAGAGACCCGGGAGCAATCGGGCTGGTGCTGACAGCCTCCGCGCTCCTGCTCTACGCCACTCGTCGGCACCCAACTCCCGAGGTGGACGGCCGCGTGCCTGTCTGAGGCACGGAGGAGGAGGAGGAGAGAGAGAGGGGGAGGAGGAGGAGGAGGAGGAGGAGGAGGAGGAGGAGGAGGAGGAGGAGGAGGAGGAGGAGGAGGAGAGAAGGAGGAGAGGGAGGAGGAGGAGGAGAGGAGGAGGAGGAGGAGGAGAATGGAGGAGGAGGAGAAGGAGGCGGAGGAGGAAGAGGATTTTTCGTCGGTGGCAATTCGTTCGAGGTGTCTTTCACGCGCTGCTCGGAAGGAGCTCTGCCTGCGGGTCTCGCAGGCTAGCGCGGCCGAAGGTGCGCGCCGTTGGCAGTTGTCTTCAGCGAGGAAGGAGGAGAGAGGAGAGGAGGGGAGGAGGGGGAGAATTGCCGCGGTCAACCTGTCTTTGAGGCAGCCGTCTGGTGGAATCAAAAAAGTCGAAGAAGCCTGGTCACCGATACCACCAGCACATTACGCTGATGGCTTCACTCGAACATGTGACCAGGCAATCATGACCTCCTCTTCCTCCTCCTCCTCCTCCGCCTCCTCCTCCTGTTCCTCCTCTTCCCTCCTCCTCCTCCTCCTCTCCCTCGTACTCCTAAATATGATGTTGCTCTAGCTTCCCATCCTCAATGTCCGATGCTGATCGATTAAACACCTGCCTACTGTTCCGTAAAAAAACATCCCAGGACACAGTCGAGGCCACCGGATCACATGAGCTCGACGAAGGCCACAAGGTGGAGCGCCCTCAAGCGAGCTTCATATCCACACGGCAACGCAAACAAAACTGGGAAGGGGAACCCTTCGACCCTATCAGTCTGAGTATCCTGGCCCGCTCTCAACTGGTCGAGGGGACTTCCTCGCCAAATGCTGGGCAGCCTTCCCATGCTCCCTCGTGCGGCGCTCCCCGTCGAGAGGCACTGTGTGATGCATGCCATGGGCCCCGTGCGCAACAAAAAACATATGGTGCCCGAAACTCCAATGACCTGCTCCCCCCCCACTCCTTTCCGTCCGCTCCTCCCCCTGCCGCACCTCTCTCCATTCTTCTGCTCCTGGAGCCGCCGCTGTTATCCACCACCCTCCTGCTTCTGGTGGCCCCTCCGCCTCCCCCCCCTCCTGCCCGTATATTCCCCAATCAGTGCTTGCACTGAAAGGGTCCTAGCGGAAGTTGAAGGATTTGGCGAAAATTCCCCGTCGACTTTGGTGGCAAGCTGGGTTCCCGGGTTCCTGGGTTCCCGGTTCCGGGTTCCCAGGTTCCCGGTTCCAGGCCGATTTCGGAGGGCGGCGAGGTTCCCGGGTTCCCAGGTTCCTGGTTGATCTTCTTATCGATCGGTCTTACCATCGATCTCATTACCGACTTCTCGATCGATCTCACCATCGATCTCAGTATCGATCTCGCTATCAATCTCACAAGCGATCTCACTAGAGATCGCATGAGCGATCTCGCGATCGATCTAACTATCGATCTCATTGAATCGATTTCACTCTCGGTCTCACGATCGACCTTGCAATCGCCCTCACCATCGATTCCACTATCGATCGCATTACCGATCTCACAGTCGATCTCAAGATGCATAGTATCAATTTTCAAATCATCCACTGATTGGGTTTTCTCAGGTGTAATATGCGCCGCACCCCTGCGGGGCGGGAGGAGGGTGGGGACATCATCGAGCAGCTCTCCCTTCCCTGGCCCGTCTGCGCCTGGCTTTAGGTGCGAGCCCGACTCCGTGTCCGAACCCATGCCGCGAGGATACGTGCACAGAGGAGTCGGGGCGCGCGGTAGGTCTCCAGGCCATCCCGCGGGCGGCATCACCGTGACCAGCACGACGCTGACCAGCTGCACCAGTGACAGGCACGTCGGTAACCAGTCGCATCACCGGGACTGTTACGACGGGCCCCAGCAACACCACAGTGACCAGTACGACAATACCCAGCGGCGTCACCGTGGTCAGTCACCACGACGCTGACCAGCTGCACCACAGTGACCGGCACGACGGTAACCAGAAGCATCACTGTGAACGGTACGACGGGCTCCAGCAACACCATTGTGACCAGCACGATCTTTTGGAAACAACACTAGGTGTATCACCACGAGCAAAACCAGAGAAACCCGCATGACCACGAGAACACGAACGGGGGGAAGGGGCCCCAACCCTCGCAATCTTGGGGAACGGGTTGTTCCGTCAACTGGTGCGCGCGGCACCTCATCAACTCTCGCAGTACCCAGCGCGGGGCTGGTGCACGCGGCACCTTAGCAACTCTCGCAGTACCCCGTCGCCACAGGCCACACGTGCCACCAGCACGACTACTGTTGCAACCAGCATGCTGGCGACTACAACGACCACGGCCACTACAGCGGCAACAAACGCCACCACGACGACTCCCAGCACCACCGCCTCAGCCACCACGACTGCGAGGACTAGCCCCTGAGCGCGGCCCCGGATCCCCCACGAAGCTACTACACCAGCTCAGCCGAGCTTTACTTTCATTCCCAACTCCGCAAATGCGCCGCGAGCGCCTCCGGAGCTTCCAGTACGTCGTCCAGCACCCTCGGCAGCAGTATGCCCCAGGATGGGTGGCCGCGGGTGCCAGCGGCGGTCGCAGCCCCGATAAGCAAGATCCACCGCATGGTCTGGCAACCGATGTCGACCACTTTGGACATGGCGTACTTCTGCGTGCGTCCCCTGCCGGACCTACTCGTCGACACCCTGAGCTGGGCCCCTCTGGCGCTAGCCAGCGCGTGTTTGGCCGAGTATCTCCACGCCGTCCTGGGCCAGACGATCCCTGGCGCGATCCATCCGGTCCTGGTGCTGGCGGCCTCCTGCACGTCCTCGGCGCCCGTGAAATTCTTCGCGTGCGGTGCGGCCTTGCGCGCGTCCATCACGGCAGTGGTCACCATGGCGCCAAGTCCGGGCTGGTGTTCCACATGTTTGTCATCTCTGGCGGCCTGGGCAGGACGCGCCGCCTTGCTGATCCCGGCCGTGCTGTCGCCCGCTTTTCCTGGAGTCTCCGATTCGGATATGCGCGGCACGCGCTGCACATGCCGCCGTGGAGGAGGCAGCCGCCAGCCCAACCCCCCCCCCCCCCCCCAAGCAGCAACGCCCTCGGCAGCGAGGCCCGCAGCCGCTTTCCTCCACAGGAGTCGCCATTGCAACCGCCCGCAGCCTCCGCGAGTTCCCCCTCGTCAGGGTTAGCGCCAGCGGCTGTCCCGTCTTCTGGCCACGACGCAACCGTCCGCAACGCGTTCGTCGAGGCCCGACTTCCCCGAGGTCCCCGTGGGCGCCGACTCAAGCAAAACCTCACTGAGGGCCACGGCCCTCAAGCGAATTCCCTGGACTTGCGGCTGAAAGAACCGGGCATCGACCCCGAGCGGGGTATGCACGTCGACGCGAACGTCCCCCTGCAGGAGCGCCGCCACGCGGCCGCTCTGGCTGCCGCTGGCCGAGGCGCGGCGGCTCGGCAGGCCCTGGCCGCCGCTGCCCCTGACCAGCCGTCCGCGGCCGCTCCGCGGGCGGCGCCGGGTCAAGCCGCTGCGGCTGGGCCCCCCGCCGAGGAACTTACGGGCGCCCCGCAAGCAACTGCTGCGGCGCCCGCCGCGGCACCTCCAGGCTGCGCCGCCAGCCGGTCAAGGGAACCCTCCCCCAGAAACCGATCCTGCTCACGAGCGCAAGGTTCGCGCCCGCGCCTGGGTGCACTGTCCAGCCCCTGGGCGCCCGAGCGGCGACGCAACGTCCTCCGCCGGCTGGGGGGGCCACCAAAGCACGCGCCCACAATGCCGCCAGGCGATTCCCCGGGCGCCCGCCAGTCCCGCCCGAACACTTGCAAGAGCACCGTTTGGAGCAGAGCTCGGTCTGCCAGCGGTTCTTGTCGACGGGCTTCGGTGGCATCTGCCCGCCATGCCGCTCTGCCGCGCGCGCGGCTGCAGACGGGGCAGCCGCCGCCCCCGCCACTGGCGACAAACCGCCTGGCGGG